TTGCACAGTAAGCTTATCAGAATTTGTTAACACATCATCTTGTCGGTCTCGACGAAGGAGGTCACAGGTTCGGTTCCGCTCAAAGGCTAACCTCTTTGACAAAGCTATACATACTATCTGAAAGCACTCTTCTCCTAGTTTCTTAACACGTTTCGGACCGCGAAATTGCGCGCGGCGAAAAAGAGTGCGCTTTTAGTCATTAGCCGACAAAGAAACCTTATTCCGTAGACTGTGTGCTACATTTGTAATCAGCATGTCAGATAAGCTCCATACCCAAAGTTCTGAGTGGTTCCAAAGTATATGAATTTTGTCGCTTGAAAGGAACTTCTGTGCTTTCTTGGAAGATAGTTACAAGAACTCAGTTTCTAATAGTATCCAAAAGTATCTATGTTGTGAACAGTACACATCAGATTGAAACTACGGTTTTTCTATTTGATATCGAAGCAAAGAAAAATTGCGACGTCGCAAGCATCGTTCGCGTTGCCGCACTTCGTTGCAGCTGCTGTTCGATTTGTGCTCATATCTCCTAAACACATGTCGGCAGCACAACTCTACAAAGTCATTTGAAAGTAGAAGCTTACCCCTTTGACATAATAACCATGGAATAAAAGAAAATCTCCTGTAAACTTCAAAAGATTCTTCAAAGCAGCGTGCTGCACCCATGTGCAGCACCGGTCCGAAACGTGTTAAAGGCAGTGTCCGGGCAAAAAGTCGATCTTGAGATTTTGTGCTTACACGGGCCTATTCGCCATGCTGAATCCGAAAATCCACATTGGAAAGCGCGAAAACGGCGAAAAAGGGCCCTAACACAGGAGGAAAATCAGCAGGTGGGCGGGGCTTTCCCCAGTGCGATTTCATGCTCCCGGCTCCCAGAGCGATTTTCTCGATTCCGCTAGCCGTCACAACATCGCTACCGGTCAAGTGCGAATGACTGACTTGAAACCGGAAGCGAGAAGGTCGCTCCGGAAGCCGGGAACGTAAATTCGCAGTGGGGAGGGCCCCGCCCACCTGCTCATTTCCCTCCTGTGTTAGAGCCGTTTTTCGCCATTTTCGCGCTCTACAATGTGCATTTTCGGAATCAGCGTAGCGAATAAGCCCCGGTAAGCACAAAATCTCAAAATTGAGTTTTTGCCCGGACAATGCCTTTAAAGGCAATGTCCGGGCAAAAACTTCTTGAGATTTTTTTGCTTACCGGGGCCTATTCGCTACGTTGAATCCGAAAATGCACATTGGAGTGCGCGATAACGGCGAAAAACGGCTCTAGCACGGGAAGGAAATCAGCAGGTGGGCGGGGTCCTCCCCACTGTGAATTCACGCTCCCAGCTTCCAGAGCGATCTTCTCGGTTCCGATTTCAAGTCATGCATTCGCAACTGGTCGGTGGAGATCTCAGGGAGCTAGAGGAATTGGGAAGATCGCTCCAGAAGCTGGGACTACGAAATGCACCGTGGGGAGGACCCCGCCCGTTTTGGATTTCCCTCCCCCATTAAAGCCCTTTTTGCCGTTTTTGAGCTTTCCAATGTGGATTTTCGGATTCAGCATAGTGAATAGGACCGGGTAAGCACAAAATCTCAAAATCGACTTTTTGCCCGGGCACTGCCTTTAAGCACTCTTTCGTTTCATGAGGGCTGGGTTCATTTCGAAATTACGTGCTGTTGAAATGAAGAGACTAGTCATCGAAACTTTTTCCTTTTACAATTTTTGGCAAACTGGCGCAATGTTTGTAAATGATCTGTGCTACAAAATGTATGTTGAAGCAAATTTCTCAAAGTTTCCATCAAGGTTTTCAAATGGCCAGAAGTCTACGAAATGTGGTCCTCTTCAGTCAAGGCTACACTTAGAATGTTGAGATTGGTGTTTTCTCAATTCCAAAATATGCGAATCCTAGTCTCTAACAACGAGGCAAAGAACTGCAAGATTTCTGCAAGAACCATGAAATTGAGCATATTCGTCAGTACCAGTTCATTCACCGTTAAACTGCCAAGCAGAGCGTTTTGTATTCTTCAAAATGAACACTCAAAATGAAGGAAGGGGAAGAGATGTCAGAAAAGTTAGCGAAGTTCCTACAGAACCATTGAAAAAGGCCGAATGCTGCTTCAAATGAAATCCTAACACCAGCCAAACTGTTCCTGGGACGACCGAGCGGAACGACAAAATCAATGAACGAATTATCAATGGAAGAAGGAAAATGTGATACCCAGATCGAAAAGCTGTTTAATCGACATATCATGAGCAAGGTCCAAGTCCTCCCATCAAAATGAGCGTGGTTGGGTTAGAGACTACCGCCCCGGATGTCAACCTCAGATTCCAGCCGTAGTGAAGGATCGCACAGGAAAAGTTCTACACGATGTGGAGGCGAAAGATAAGCTTTTTGGGAATAACATGACAGTGAGATGCGCATTGAAAACCTGAAGCTCTGGAAACCAAAGAAGAAACGAACGCACTCCAGAAGAAAAGCAAGAAGCCCACACTTTGTGTCGAGTCAAGAGCCAAAATCATCCACGCTGTCGCCGATACCGAAGAAGCCATCAACTCTAAGAAGTATCCAGTTTGACACCGAAAGCAGTCTGATCAACTTCAACAATCCAAAAAAAAAACTTTTTTTCCTAAAAAGGAGATGTCTAGGAATGATGTGCTAAGTTATACATACGATATGCCACACGTTTATGTAAACAAGATAGCTATTTATAGTTATGACAGTCGTACACTTCTCAATCTTGTGGCTTGCAATCTCGGTTAAAGACTTCTTTGCATCCGCTCTGGTACATAACATTCTCACGATTACCAATACCTCTGTCAGTTTTATCGAATTCACGCAAAAGAGCTATTGGACTAATTGCAAAAATATAATGGAGGCAGGGTACTAGCACATGACGGTTGGACCAGGACAGGGAAATGTTGTATGGAACTGGGACATGGTGACTTCTATTATAGTGTATTGAAAGGGCCCGGCGAAGCTTATGCCAGCTAGTCTCAATATGCAATAGTCGCGAACCCCCGGAATCCAGTGGATCCAGTGTTAGAGCCTATGCGTGTCAAGAAGTTAGGGTGACTTCGTGATTTTGCAAAGGAAGAAAGACGATTCGGGAATGAGCGAGAATAAGCGTCAGCTGGCGCAATCTCTGATACTGTGCAAGCCTCTAAACTACGGGAGGCGGTCGGTTGACATCCGAACAGCCGCTCGCAGCTGCAGTGTGATAATTAGAGAGGGCGACGGAGCCTTGATTGCGCTGCGCTACGCGGCAGTCCCTCTGGCTTCCCAGAGCTCTTTCGCTTAGGATCTCTCACGCATAGCACTCTGAGGTGCGAAAAGGCCTAGTTCGCGCGTCACACTTCAAAAACGGTAAAAATCGGACAAAAAAAACTTTGAAAATGACTCAATTGACATAATCGATATAAGCACAACAAATACGATATCCAAATTAAGCTCAAATTTGATTTGTTTGATTAAGAAAGTTCAATCTTCTCCACTTCATACAACAATGACTTTTTGCAGTCTATGTAACTGTTACAGACAATATCGCATTAAACTTCTCAATTACGGTAGATTTTTCTACTAATCGCTCCTTTTTCTAAATTTGCTCCGTTCAAAAACAGATTATTTTCTGGAAATCGCGGCTCTTAATTACACGCAAATATAAATCTTAGCATGTAATGTGTGGCATGATCAACAAAATCGTCAGTACTCCGTTTTTAGATGATAATCTAACTAACGAAAAGAAAGGTTGCAAAATCCATCAAAGAGTGAAACAGGAACTGTAATGGGCTGTAGTGATCTGAGTCTTTTATCTATAGATTTTGCACTCGTTTGCCAAGTTTTTGCCGTAGACCAAAAGAGATGCAGAGGACCCATTAGTCATTATAAAGGCTGAGTCGAAATTACACCAAGTTATTTCTAACGAGGAAAACTACTTAACTTAGCTCGCGCTTTCGGAATAAGACACATTATTTGCAATCGGCCTGGTACGCTGATGCCAAATATGCTGTTTCCAGGTGCCACGCATCATTCGGAACGGAGTTACGAGGGCCTCCTTCCGTATGACTTCTCCACCGGCAAGTCTAGGGGAAACTCGACAATGACCAATAGAGGTCGTGTGGTAAAGTGGTAAGTGTCTCGCACGCTGAGGGTCCGGTGCTCGACTCCTGTTGCAAGTTTTTCGTTCTGCAAGCCCTCGAAAGTGTTCATTAGTCTGTTCCTTCCTCGATGGCTCTCCTGTAATGTCGCAAGAGCCAAAGACCTTTGACAGATAAGCAACGACCAGCTCGGGGCACAACATCTTCGATTTATGATAACCCCACTTACCAAAGATGCATGTAGACACGGTTGACCACTTGTGGATCATGTTTCGCTTTCTGGACTACCTTTGCAAAACAATAAACTTGCAACAAGAGTCGAGCCCGACCCTCAGCGTACAAGGCGAGACACTTACCACTTTACCACACGACCTCTATTGGTCATTGTCGAGTTTCCCCTAGTTTTGCCGGTGGAGGAATCATACGGAAGGAGGCACATGTAACTCCATTCCGAATGATGCGTGGAGCCTGGAAACAGCATATTTGGCATCAGCGTACCAGGCCGATTGCAAATGTATGTGTCTTATTCCGAAAGTGCGAGCTAAGTTAGGTAGCTTTCCTCTTGAGCTACTTCTGTATCGAACAGAATTTTTGAATGTCAGCTATTCAATTATCCAAAAATCCCAATATCCAATTCATCCAGTATGATTCAAAAATACCGTTATCCAGATCGTACATTTCAGAATTTATTTTCAAACAAATGGACTACAATATCTCACAGACAAGAATGTTGGTTGAAACTATTAATCCAGATCTGTCCGCACCTCAAAGTACGGAGCGTGAATGGCGAGAGAATCGGCGTAGCGCAGCGTAAAAGCTGCCACCCCGCTAATTACCACCCGGTCCCGCAACACTCGACCCGAGTATCAATTGATACGGACCGGTAGACTACTGATGGTCGGAAAAGCTGCAACCTAAAGCAACTTACGATAGTAGCCTTCGAACGAGTCCTGACACCGCAGCCGGACGATTGCAGACAAATACCTGAAGTGTAAAATGCTAGAAAATGATCCAAACGTTCATGATTGCACGTGTTATCGACGTCTACTACCGCAGGTACCCGCCTTATTGCGAAGCATGCGCGTGATCAAAAGTGGGGGGCGCCCATTACTTGTGGGTGTCAACTGGGAATTGCCGCGACGCGGTATCACAGTAAGTCGGGTGAGAGGCAGCAGGGCCAGAGGAAATGTCCCAGAGGAAATGTTTAGGGGTCACGTTGTTATAGTAAAGAGAAATTACATATTTTGTGACCACACGTAGTAATTTTCATATTTCCATTCACTATTTTCTTCATTTTCGCAAGATTTGGGATCAAACTTCCACTAAACAGTATAAAATTTGGTACGACAGTGTAAAAACTTTTACAAAAAATGGAATAGTACGCCTTGCAAGTCGGCTACCCGAGCTCTCGCGCGACTGATTATTGCCAGCCTGTCGTGCGCGGCGCCTGCGTAATTGGCAGTCACAAGTAATGGGATACACCCATCAAAAGTTTGTACCGATACTAGTCGCGATTGTACAGGCCGTCCGCGCTGCGCACGGAGAGCAACGCTGTTGCCTACATTGAAGACAGTTCACGATTGGAAGAAGCCAGAGAAAACAGGCGGCGAGAGTGCACTAGAAAAAAGGATTGACGCGTAATACACACTATAGTTGTGACTAACGGAAATTTTCATCAAATGAACGAATATCGAATAATTGACTTTTGAAAAGTTTTCGAACGAATGAATATCATAATTGGTTTTCGAAAATTTCTCGAATGAACGAATATTATTCGATTTCCGACTTTTACATTATTTGAATTCGAATATTCGAATGTGGTCAAATTCCAAAATTCGAATGAACGAATATTCGAATAACTGAACTTGGTCGAATATTCGACTATTCGAATAAACGAATAGCCGAATATCATCGAATATTCGAATGCAATATTAGAATGTTCGCGTAGAATATTCGAATATATAAACGCAGTAGTCGAATAACCAAATATTCGAACAACGATTTTCAAAACTTTTCGAATAATCGAATATTCGAATAACTGTCTTTAAAATTCCTCGAATATTCGAATATTCGAATAAGTCATTTTTCCGAATCGTCGAATGAACGAATTATTCGAATAAAGACCTTTTTCATTTATTCGACTATTCGAATAATCGGACTTTCTCGAATATTCGACTATTCGAATATTCGAATAGTCGTATATCTCGAATAAATTATTCGAATACGAATATTCGGTTCCAACTATAATACACACCTTGCGCACTCTCCGCGCTCTCCGGACGGCCTATACACGTTATACTCACGTGCCGTTTCTCAATTGCGGTGCGCGTGCGCAAATATGACCAGTTCGTGCAGTCGATAACTCGAGGGTACTTCATATCAGATGATACGCAGCTTTGGAAGCCATTTCTACGTCTGACTTGATGAACCAAAGACTGGGCGCAATCGGTGATTCGACTTTGAAGGCACCGTCCGAGCAGATTTAGAAACGTAAAGTAGATTGGTGTCCGTCATGATAAAGCTCTTGCCCAAGAGGCCTTGTACCAATTTGCTTGTGAAGTGAGAAAATTGCTTCAGAATTGGCGACTTTTACGCCCCGACGATTTGCCCGCCCTAGATTCGATAAGCCAGAGTGCGCATTTCGCATACAGTCACCACAACGACCTCGTGTCTGAACGTTCGCGGTACGCGTGTAAATTTAAAATCACGGACTTCCGGAAAGCTCGTTTTCGACATTCTCGTGCCCTCCAAGTTGCATTTTTGGATTCAGCGGGGAGAGTTAGCACGGGTAAGCCAGAAAAACCCGGACGCTGCCTTCAATATAGTACGTTCTTGTTGATGTGTAAGACTTGTAGGCAGTGTCTATTAAGAAACCAGGACGTCAAGAATACACACGATGCTTTATGAAGATAAGACTATATCAACTCAAAGACAGCGTCAAGGCAAATCTAGGCACTTCGGGACAGGACTCGAATCGTCCTGGGAACAGGCTAGACTCCGTTTTTGAGACAAAAAGCAAAGGGGTACCGTAAAACATGCTATGAAGACATGTAAGCGAACACTCACAGGGGCGGACCCAGATTCGAAAGTGCCAGTTGAGGTAAACTATACGTCGTCTGAATCAGCGTGGAACTCTGATTTCAAATCTGCATTAATTATTTGCCAAGTGGTCCTCGCTGACATGTTAAGTTTCAAGTTAAGTACGATTCGCACCTGGTACCCAGATGTGGCCGTCTGGTTTCGTGGATAAGCGCGGACCCTATGGAGCACCCCTTATAACGCAAAGCAAACATTCTTAACCTGCCAAAAATGTTGCACAGGAAAAGAATTCGAACCCTCGACCATCTGTTCCATAAGTTTCGCGCTTACCCACTACACTAGACGGTCACACATGGTTTCCAGGTGCGAATCGTACTCATACATGTGAAAAGGGGACAATGTGTTCCTACCCCCTTCACCCCTGGGGCCGGAACCCAGGTGACCCCCTTCACCCATGGCCGATGAGTTGGTGGAAGAAGTGAGACTAAGAAATCAACATTTTAAGCAAAATTATACAACTATCGGCATTATTAAGATCAAATTTAGTGACATGTTGATTCTAAATATTATTATCATGAGGGTCAAAACTTATTTGCGGGTTCACTGAGAAGTACGTCGGAAATTTGCCGCCTATTGTTCACTTCTAGAGAACGACAAAAAAGCCTTGAGAAAAGTTTACGTGTGTAGCCTTCGTGTATATATGTCAATGAAGTTACTCACGTATTTGCTGAAATAATAAGTGAAATAATAAATGAACTTTGATGATCGGTGCGCAGTTGAATTGCATTCTCTTGAAGGGAATAAATTTTCTAAGCAGATGGCGGAATCGTGAAAAGTCATTGATTGATTCCTTAAAGAGACCTTGTCTCAACTTTCAATATTATTTCTAAACTCTGACAGAGATCGTAACGTGTGCGTAGAGAAAAAGTTGCAACCAAGGGCACGTATTACATCGAAGACTTAGTGTAATCAGGGTTAGTTTTACTGTCAAAATGCTATAGCTACGAGGATCGTGGAGTTCTACAATCCGCCTACTTGGACGATAATAGGGATGAGGAAGGACAGGAGATGCATTTTTCCACGTTGGAGCACTATAGAGGAAGAGAAGAACAAGCGTATATGATCACTGGCGCAATTTTTCTATAAAAAATTGTAACTTTTTCATATGAGAAGATAGGAGAGTCTCTAGCTATACATTGAATTACTCTTGTTGCAAGCTTTCAGAAAATATATAGCTTGCCAGGAGAGGAAGAATTTTCGTGTAAGGTGAATGTGGTCGTAATTGTTTTTCTAAAATTAAGATTTTTTTCATAAAAAATTCACAACGTTACCACATGAAGAGCTAGAAGAGTTTTTTGCACTCTATTGGAATCCTCTCGTCGTCCGTTTTCTGAAAATATGTAGGTTGCCAGAAAAGACGGGAATTTTCCTAGCGGGTGAAAGGGGTCGTAGTCGTTTTTCCGGAATTATGCCAATTTTTAATCAAAAAAATTTATAACATTTTTATATGAGAAGCTAGGAGAGTGCTTAGGTATTCATTGAATTCCCCTCGTCGTCCGCTTTCAGAAAATTTATAGGTTGTAGGGAGAGGGGTGCTAAAAGTACGTAGTGAAGGTGGGGGGGGGGAACATGGTATAATGGGCGTGTTCCTTTGGCTCCTTAAAACGACGAGTACAGAAAGGAACATTTCCATTATACCATTTTCCGTTACCTTCACCACATACTTTTGGCACCCTCTTCCTACAACCTATACATATATTTTCTGAAAGCGGACGACGAGAGGAATTCAATGAACACCTAAGCACTCTCGTAGCTTCTCATATAAAAATGTTATAAATTTTTTTAATAAAAAATGGCTTAATTGCGGAAAAAACGACTACGACCCCTTTCACCCGCTAGGAAAATTCCCGTTTTTTCTGGCAACCTACATATTTTCAGAAAACGGACGACGAGAGGATTCCAATAAAGTGCAAAAAACTCTTCTAGCTCTTCATGTAGTAACGTTATGAATTTTTATAAAAAAAAATTTCCTTAATTTTAGAAAAACAATTACGACCACGTTCACCCTACACAAAAATTCTTCCTCTCCTGGCAAGCTATATATTTTCTAAAAGCTTTCAACAAGAGTAATTCAATGTATAGCTAGAGACTCTCCTATCTTCTCATATGAAAAAGTTACAATTTTTTATAGAAAAATTGCGCCAGTGATCATATACGCTTGTTCTTCTCTTCCTGTATAGTGCTCCAACGTGGAAAAATGCATCTCCTGTCCTTCCTCATCCCTATTATCGTCCAAGTAGGCGGATTGTAGAACTCCACGATCCTCGTAGCTATAGCATTTTGACAGTAAAACTAACCCTGATTACACTAAGTCTTCGATGTAATACGTGCCCTTGGTTGCAACTTTTTCTCTACGCACACGTTACGATCTCTGTCAGAGTTTAGAAATAATATTAAAAGTTGAGACAAGGTCTCTTTAAGGAATCAATCAATGACTTTTCACGATTCCGCCATCTGCTTAGAAAATTTATTCCCTTCAAGAGAATGCAATTCAACTGCGCACCTATCATCAAAGTTCATTTATTATTTCACTTATTATTTCAGCAAATACGTGAGTAACTTCATTGACATATATACACGAAGGCTACACACGTAAACTTTTCTCAAGGCTTTTTTGTCGTTCTCTAGAAGTGAACAATAGGCGGCAAATTTCCGACGTACTTCTCAGTGAACCCGCAAATAAGTTTTGACCCTCATGATAATAATATTTAGAATCAACATGTCACTAAATTTGATCTTAATAATGCCGATAGCTTAATAATTTTGCTTAAAATGTTGATTTCTTAGTCTCACTTCTTCCAGTTTTTCTTCTTCGAATTTTAGCGGGTAAAACCCAATGTTCGACTATAACCCGGTTTGGCTACAATTTCACTTGATGCATGTGA